GAAAGTGTGTCCAGCTGAATTAATTCAGTATTTTGTTAGACGGGTATAAAAAAGCTTAGTTTACCGCAGCAGCCGTCACGTGAAGGCCTCCTCATGTGCAGATCGAAGAGTGTAAAGACCATCGACTCTACCATGCGACTCCACCAGGCAGGACACCGGCAAAGGATAAGTATTGCTTTTTATTTCTCCCCTTTCCTATTACTTGTTTCGCTTCTGTTTCAGTTTTTTATAACCGTTTCTTACTATGTGTAAGTAAGTTGTTGTATTTTAGCATGTGTCGTATCTTGTCAGTGTCTGCGCTTCCTTGGCCATTTGTTGTGGAAAAAATAAGGAAAGTGTGTCCAGCTGAATTAATTCAGTATTTTGTTAGACGGGTATAAAAAAAGCTTAGTTTACCGCAGCAGCCGTCGCGTGAAGGCCTCCTCATGTGCAGATCGAAGAGTATAAAGACCATCGACTCTACCATGCGACTCCACCAGGCAGGACACCGGCAAAGGATAAGTATTGCTTTTTATTTCTCCCCTTTCCTATTACTTGTTTCGCTTCTGTTTCAGTTTTTTATAACCGTTTCTTACTATGTGTAAGTAAGTTGTTATATATATATATATGTATGTGTGTGTGTGTGTGTGTGTGTGGTTGTACATACACACATATGTAGTTGTTTTTTTTGGTGTTTGGCTTAGTGTTATGTTAGAATCATTATTATACTCGTATACCTTTTGTTCTTTAATATTTTGAATTGTTTTTAGCTTTATTTTTTGTTTTTCATTTATATGTTAAGTTTTGAAATGTTGTTGTATGCATTTGTCATTTTTATTTAATCTCTTTATTTTTTAAATGTGTATAGGTAGTATTTATAAAGTTTTAGCTTTTAGTTTTGGATCTGTTTTTAGTTGTTTTAATACTACAATTGATTGCTTCTGTTGTCCTCATTTGTAAGTCTCTTTGGATAAAAGCGTCTAATAAATGACTAAATAAAAAAAAATATATACACACACACACACACACAGTTTGAGATGAATGTGAGCAGAATTTGCTCTCTATTTAATCGTATTGTTGTCTGGTTGCAACTTTTTGTTTTCTTTCTGTCCTATGGGTGATTGGTTGCTGGTAAATCGTGTCTTAAGCATCGTTATTCGAAGACACCAAGGGGAAAAGAAGCTTTTTTCCAGATCAATATGTCAGTCACAGCCACCATAAAAACGAACTACAAGGGCTCTCTTGTAGTTAACACATCATAAAAATCATACTGCTAAAGTCTGACCTTGTCAATATGTGCCAAGCAGTCAGTCCATCATATCACTAACAGCATCCAAGTCTGTTGTTGATTTCCCATCAACATGTTGCACATTCTCATTGCCTCAGGTAAACATGCTCAGATGAGTTATTAATATAAATGTATAATGGACTGACTGTAAATGCTACTGGTAAATACATATTATGTTGCCACTCTAACAGCTTCAATGAAGACCAACATACATGATGCATGCTTTGTGGCGGGTGATCATAAACTACTCACATGCAGCTCCAGACCGGGATATAGCTCTGCAGATTTTATCAACAAAATGGAAAGAGAACTCATACACTCTCTTTAGGGGATGTTTTTATTTTAAAGCTGCAACCACACTTGTTTTCTTTACTGCTTCACTATGAAATATAAGGCATCGTGTTTTGGACACAGACCTTCTTCACTAATTTGTTGCATTTCCGTGCAAGTGTTTTCATATGAAATATTTCATATTATACACAGGCCATTATTTTATTTGTTCTGTTTTGTTTTAATTTGTTTCTTTATTTTATTTGTTGTTGTTGTTGGTATTTTAATTTATTTTACTTAACTTTTCATCTCCCTTCTGTATGCTTGTCAACAATATTCATATACAATTCCACATACAATTTTAAAATTTACACACACATCATACCATTACTCAGATTTAAATGAAATTAAATGATATATTTAATTATATATTTAATTTAGTGTTTAATTTGGTTAATTGCTCTTCTTATTTTACTTTACTTTTTACTGCATTTTGGATCAATGTGTAATACATTTGTATTTATAAATCTTTTTTAATGGTGTGTGTGTATATACATATATATATATGCACCTGTTCAAAGTTAGTTCATGTCACCTTCAGGTATATTAAAAAATATTAACAGATACAAGTTTTTGATTAAAAAAAATGTATTAGTACATGTTGAAATTAACATTAACTATTATTAATTAATGCTTTAGAATAAACGCATGGTGAAATGAACTATGATCGATTAATGCTTTAGAAGAATGTCATGTTAGTTCATGTTAACTAATGTACTAAGGTTAACTAAGGAAGTGTTACTAGTCAGTTTAAATCTTTCTGTTCTGAGAAAATTGTTGGACTGTTTGTTGGTTCTGTTAAGTTCAAGAAAGTCTGATAGCAGTAGTAGTTTGCTTTAGATGGGAAGGTTCTGAGGTTTCAGCAGTGTAACACTGAACAGTCATGGTTGAAAGGTAATTTTACCACAAACACATTGGAGTCGAAACTCTTCGAGAGTCCGGCCCTGTGCGTGTGGCAAACGTTAGCGCTTGCTCTCCGGGGACAGGACATGTACCCTGTGCGAATGATAAATGGCTGGAATGAGTGAAGTTGAGAAGTCAGTGACTGCCTGGTGTCCCCGCTGTCTTTCAGCAGTCCTCTTTTCCTCAGCCTTCACCTCTCCTTCTCACCGGTTTAATCGTCCGACACTTCACGCGCTCCACCTCGCGCTCCCCTCTCTTCCACACCTCCTCCTGCTGTCCGCCTAATTGATGGCTGAACACGCTGGAGAGGCCTTCACTTCTTTTCTATCTTTTTTTTTTATATCTATCCGTTCAAAGACGATGGAGGCTCGTGAAGGGCCTCTCATTCCCACTCCCCATCTCCTCAGCTCGTTTTTTTCTCTCCCTCCTTCACTACGTCTCTTCTTTTCTTCATTATTCATTAAGTTCCCTTCAAAGCTCCAGAGAGAAGGCAGAGAGAAACGATACGCCGCTGGACTTCAACCCACCTGCAGGAGCGAGAGGAGAAAATGAGCGAGGGATGACAAACCGATATAATAAAATGAAAAGTATAAGCTGTGAGATGTTTGGCTGCATTTACCCTGCACATCTGATAGTTTAACGTATGTTACATCCAATTTATTTTCTGTTTATATTCTGTTTACTTTTTAGACATAACTGACTGTTTACTTTAATATTGCTGCAATACATTGCAAACTGTTCTGCACTCTTATCTGTGGATATGGATGAGTAAATGGTTTTGTTTACTTCCATCTAGTCGGTTTGTGTCAATATTTATGCATGCTGTGCAAGTCGGTTGAGTAGTTTTGTGCATCGTTTGGGCTGATTGGCCTCATATAAAGCTCATTGATGAAATGTATGGCTTGTGTGACTGTCATGGGTTTATGTTTGTTTAGTTCTTAGGTCTGTGGTGCATTGTGGATCATATGACTTCAGTTGCGCATGTAAGATTTTATGTTTTTGAAAGAAGTCTCTTTTGCTTACAAAGGCTGCATTTATTTAATAAAAAATACACTAAAAGCAGTATTATGGTGAAGTAGTTATGATTTAAAATAACTGTTTATTTTTTTTAATTAATCTATTTTAAAATGTAATTTATTCTTGTGATGCAAAGCTGAATTTACTCCAGTCTTCAGTGTCACATGATCCTTCAGAAATCATTCTAATATGCTGATTTGCTACATATATTATGGGATTATATTCCATTAGGCACCGCCCCACCGTCATTTAGATTTTTTATAGTAATAAAAATAATTTAGTTCAGTTAGAGAACAGACGCTGCAATTTAAAAACTGAATGCGGCTGCTCAATGCAGTGTGCCGACAGTTGCATGAGGAGAAGCAGACAAGAAGAGTGAGGTGAGACCATAGACTGTATAAAAACATGGACGTAGTGTCCGTGATGTCACCCGTAGGTTTCTGAAGAGCATTTTTGAAGCCCAAAATGGGCGGAGCCGGCCAGCGCCATCTTGGCAGTGCATCACAACGCGTCCCTCCCGGATAATCGAAAATGGGCAAAGAGGCAGAGAGGATTTTGCTGCGTTTGTGGAGTGGGTGCTGGTGAATAACAGATCTTTATTGACTTTCTGCCCCGCCGAGAAGGACTTCACCAGCCCCACTCCAAACCCAGAGAGCAGCCAGCCATCATCCCGCTGCACGGAGCAATCGCCTGAGCCCACCGCAGACGGAGAGCCTGAGCCTGCCGCGACACGTGAGCCAGCGCATAAACCCACGACTGAGCCGATCATCGCCCCAGAGACTGAGCCTCAAGAATCATCTGACCATGTGCATGAGCCGGGAACATCCTCCGTCCCTGAGGGAGTACTGGTGGAGATCGAGGGCTTGGAGGGAAGCCCCGCCCACACTCCCGCCGCTGATGGTGAGCTGCAACTGGACATTATGAGGAACTGATAGACATTTTTCAAGAGGACTTAATAGACTGGTTTGAGGAGGTAATACCCAGTGCTCCTGAGTCTCCTATGTCTCCTGTGTATCTGCTGGTTCTGCCCAGCCCTGAATCTCCTGCGTCTCCGCTGGTTCCATCCAGATCTGAATCTCCTGCGTCTCCGCTGGTTCTGCCCAGCTCCTGTGTTCCCTCCCAGCCTCCCTCTTCTGCCTCTTCTTGTGCCAGCCAGTACCTCTGCCCCGTCTCCGCTGGTGCCTGTCATCCCCTCAGCTCACCCTAAGTCAGCGCCATCTGGGTGCTCTGATCCGCTTTGGGACTTCCAGTCTCCAGCTCCGCCTAGGCGTGAGGATCCCCTGTCTCCGCCTTCAGCCTCCGAGTCCTGGACTTCCCCCCTGTCCTTCGACCCATCGACTCCGCCTTAGTTCCTAGCTCCCTCATATCCACCGTGGCCCGTCATCCCACTGACTCTACCGGGCTCACTCATCCCTCCGGCTCTGCCTTGGTCAGTCGTCGACCATCCGCCGCCTCGGGACTCCACTCCTCTGGCTTCGCCTCATCACTCTGTCCCTCTGGCTCTGTCATGCTCCTCCTTCCCTCTGGCTCCGCCTGCGTCCTCAGTCACTCTGGCTGCGCTGCGGTCTTCCGGATCCCCACCTCCGCCTTGGTTGCCTGAGCCTTCAGCTCCGAACTTGGCCCTACGGATCAGCTGTGTCGCTCTGGCTCTCTGTCTGCTCGGCTCCACCTGGGTCTCCACCTCCAGCAGCTCAGTCTCTGTCAGTCAGCCCCCTAGTGTTTGTCAGCCCCTTCTCCTCCCTGGCTCCTCCCTCCATCTACTCCGCCCTGGCCCTATGAACGATGCCCCTTTCCCATTGCCTGCACCACGCCCGCCTTCTGATTCCCCACCCTCCCTCCTCAGTTGGGCTGTTTATAGGCGCGAGGACGCGCCTTCCGGTAGGGGGGCGAACTGTCACAGTTATGTTCTGTTTTAGGTTCTGTTTCAGTCTCCACATTTCCCTGAGTTGCCTTGTCTATTAGTTTCCATGTTTTTTATTAATAACCTCCACACCTGTTTCAGTTCTACCTAATTACCTTTTCTAGTATTTAAGCACTGTGTTTTGCACTAGCTCCTTAGTTCCGGTATTGATGTTGACTTTTTTTCTTCTCCTGCGTTTCTCGTGTGGCTGTGGATTGATTAAAGGACTATCTTGTTTAAAATAACACAAAATATAAAATAAAATAAAAAATTTAATATAACACAATAATAATAATAATGATAATAATAATAATATATTTATGCTTGTTTGTTACAAACAGGGTGAAGGTTAAAAGATCTGGAATCCATCACTTCATACTACCGATACCAATAGCCTTTTAAATACTTCATTGAGAGAAGGGTCCATCTTTGAAGGGTCTTCTGATGAGAACACGCTGTGTTAAATGGAGTCCACATAATAACCATCACCCTGTTAACCTCTGAAAAGTGGTTCACACCGAATAAAGCAGAAAACCAAAGTGTCAATAAGTGAATGAAACACTTGAGGCATCATAACCTTCAGACCTGTGATGCTGCTCTTCTAATTCATCCTCTGCACAACTGACTTGTCCTAATAGAGCAGAATACACGGCTATCTACAGCTCATTACTTCCTGTAGCCCTTTAATTAAGCAAATACTCTTGATGCTAAAAGCTGCCTGTGTCACAGTTCACAGAAAGTCATTAATACCATGAAAGTAAACTTGCATTGGAGGCTGATTTTGCTTTGCCTGCAGGAGGATAATGTCTATACGTCTCTGTTTGTTGTGTTAGCATGTCTGCGCAAGACAAATACTGTGTGGCTTATTGCTAAGTGTTGAGGCAGTGATTTGAAACAGCACTTCGAGGAGAGAAACATCGTTAGGGAGACAAAAAAGCCTGCAATGAAGTGATTATCCTTCTGTGTGAGATTGTTAAGGATGCTTATAGTTGTCATGAAAGTGGCGATTTGTCTCGGTAAGAGAGAAGAATGTGTGATGAAACATGAGCGTGGATCACAGACCAGCTGTGATGGCACATGCAGTCTTCATCCTTGCATTGTTTACTTGTGTACTGTTCCTTTGGTTTGCCGTCTTTCTTCTCTCTTTTTCTTGAATATCATTGTACCTTACTTTCTTTCCCACCCTGAATCATCTCATTTCCTTTTCCTTTCCTCTTGTTTTCTTGTCCCTTCACTTTTCTTTCCTCCTTCCTCCTTCCTCTTTCATTTCCATTCTGCTTCCTTTTCCCTTTCTCTTTTTTATGTCGCACTCTCCTTCTACTTTCAATTATTTTCCTCTTTTCCTTTTCCCGTCTCATGCCTTCCCCTTTCCCTTTCCATTTTCTCTTCTTGTATTTTCCCTTTTCCTCTTCCCCTTCTTTCTTTCTCTTCACTTCTTTTCCCATTCCTCTTTCATTTTAATTCTACTTCCTTTTCCCTTTCTCTTAATTTTTTGCCTCAGGCTCCTTCCGCTTTCATTTTTTTTATTTTCCTCTTCCCTTTCCCATCTCATGCCTTCCCCTTTCCTTTTTCATTTTCTGTTCTTGTATCTTCCCTTTTCCTCTTCCCCTTCTTTCTTTCTCTTCACTTCTTTTCCCTTTCCTCTTTCATTTTACTTCTACTTCCTTTTCCCTTTCTCTTAATTTTTTTGTCGCTGTCTCCTTCCACTTTCTTTTTTTTTTTCTTCTTCCCTTTCCCTTTTCATTTCTATTTTCTCTTCTTATATTGTCCCTTTTCCTGTTCTTTCTGTCCATTCTCTTTTCTTTCTCCCTTCCTCCTCTATTTCCATTCATATTCCTTTTCCCGTTTTCTTTCACTGTCCCCTTCCGTTTTATTTATGTCCCCCTCTTAATTTTTTTGTCGCTGTCTCCTTCCACTTTCTTTTTTTTTTTCTTCTTCCCTTTCCCTTTTCATTTCTATTTTCTCTTCTTATATTGTCCCTTTTCCTGTTCTTTCTGTCCATTCTCTTTTCTTTCTCCCTTCCTCCTCTATTTCCATTCATATTCCTTTTCCCGTTTTCTTTCACTGTCCCCTTCCGTTTTATTTATGTCCCCTTTCCATTTCCATCTTCCCATTTTGTACTTTCTCTTTTCCTCTTCCTCTTCTTTCTGTCACCTTTCTTTCCCCCTTCCGCTTTCATTTCCATTTCCGCTTCCTTTATCACCACTTCCCTTTTCCTTTTCCGTTTGTCCTTTCTTGTTCCTTTTTCCCTCTCCCCTTTCTTTCAGTTTTATTTTCCCCTTCCCCTCTCATTTCCATTCTACTTGGTTCCCTTCTCACCCGTTGCCCTTTTTCTATCTTCTTTCATTTTTCCTTTCCTTATCCCTTTTCTTTTCTTTTCTGACCCTTTCCATTTTCCCGTTCTTGTTCTTTCTCTTCTCCTTCTCCTTACCTTTTAATTTCTTTTCCTCTTCCCTTTCCCTCCTATTCCTCGTTCATTCCCTTTCCATTTCCCTTTGCCCTTTGGCTTTATTTCCTGTTCTTTCTGTCCATTCTCTTTTCTTTCTCCCTTCCTCCTCTATTTCCATTCATATTCCTTTTCCCGTTTTCTTTCACTGTCCCCTTCCGTTTTATTTATGTCCCCTTTCCATTTCCATCTTCCCATTTTGTACTTTCTCTTTTCCTCTTCTTCTTCTTTCTGTCACCTTTCTTTCCCCCTTCCGCTTTCATTTCCATTTCCGCTTCCTTTATCACCACTTCCCTTTTCCTTTTCCGTTTGTCCTTTCTTGTTCCTTTTTCCCTCTCCCCTTTCTTTCAGTTTGCAACTTTTTTTTATTTATTTTATTTTTTGTTTTGACCAATTGTCATCTGATGCTGTAAATGACAACATTTTTATTTCATATTTGAAGAAATGTCATCATTATACACAATAAAGCAAAAAATATGTTTTACTCAAACACATAACTATAAATCATTAATCCAAAGAAACTGAGAATTTTCAAGTGGTCTTTTAATTTTTTCCATAGATTCTTAATATATTTTTTTCCATAAGTTAAGGATATATATAGCTACATCATGTATTTATATAATGGCTACTAAAGTGTAGGAACTCATTTTCTACATTTGCTGTGCTCTTTTTTCGCATATACAATAAATTCAATTTAAATCAATATTTAATGTCCATGAATGTATTTATTTTCTAGGTAGCCCTGCAATAATGGGATAATGTGTAGTTATTTGGTCATTGCAAAATAAACCCCTTCAGGGTATTATGCACGAAACCCTCTTCCATTACACTGTATATGCACAGCTAATGCACTGTATCTCATCTTGAATTCTGTGTGAATATATGCATATAGAGGGACCACTCTGATTATGCTGTTCTGTTTCCTAGAAACCAAAATGCAGCTAAAGACCTCAGAACCCAGCAGGGAGCTCACCGCCTGTATTAAAACACAGTTGTGTGAGAGAGACAGGTGCTAATTCAGTCTCACAGATCTGAGAACAAGACGTTAGAAGAGTCACACATCAAGAGTAATCAGAGAGATGTTATGTGAGAGGGAAAAAAGAGATTTCATTAGAAGTGTGAGAAGTTAGAACAGGTGCCATAGGGAAAGTTTCAGTGTTGCTGTTGTATGGCTCACACAGATGCTTTCACTAGTTTGTTCTTTGACTGAAGACTTTATTCACTGTTTCGTCTGTGTGTGTATCTGTGTCTGGGCTTTTTTGGGCAGAGTACACTCTGCAGTTTTTAAAGATGAAGCATAATTGTGTAGCAGTCAGATGGTGGAGTTTGTCCCTGCTGAATACACATCAGATCCCGCAGTGTCAGCTAACCTGAAGCCTAATGCTGCATACAGGTTTTCTTAATTCATTGCAGTGCATTTATTATGTCTGATATGACTGGATGAGGCATGTTTAAAGCAATTCTGAAATGCTAATAAATGCACACCTGTAACTGCACACAGTAGCAATATAAAAAAATACATGAGTACTTTTATAATACATTACAGGTTTAAATTGGTACTGAAGCGACCACTAATATATTCATGAACCATTACACTGTGTACTGAAGCAGCAGTTCCTTATGTGAAATGGGAGCATTAGCCAATCAAAATTTGATGATGATGTTATCACAAACACTTACGAATGTGGCATGATCATGCATTATTATATATAGTTTATCGTTGAAATGTGTAGTAAAAACCTATTAAATTACTAAGTACTAATTAAAATACTAATTCAATTAAGTTATACTTATAAGTTATATTAATTACTATTTGTATGCAGTGGATAATAACTATTTATTTATTTTTTGCTTCTCTGTGTGTATTTGTTATTTGATATTCATCCACATGATATTAGAAAAGTTATAGTAAGACTACATGGGATTAGGACAAAATGACTAGGACAAAACCTTTAAATAGTTACAATAATTTAATTAAAAAATATATTTTAATTGTATAAATTAAAGTATATATTTTTCATTAATATTTATTATTTTATTTTATTACATTTTGGCTAATTTAAGTTGGTACAGCACTGACCAAAAAAAGCAGTATAGTACTGATTTTCATGATCTTTTTCATGTTAGTAATGTTTTTGGATGTTTTACAATATATTTTATTTATTAATATTATATTACAATTTATATTATATTTTATTTCATTTTAAGGTTTATTTTTTATTATGAGATTACTTTGGTCTCTACTTGTTATTTTAGCTTATTTTATGTGAAACTACTGTGGTCTGGTCTTTTTTATTGTATTTTATTCAATGTCATTTATTTGTATTTATTTATTTATTTATTTATTTGTTTGTTTGTTTAATTCCCACTGAAATTTTTATTGTAAACCATTTAATCTATAGACAAACCTGTGATTGCACACCTATAAGTTCTATAGTGTATACTACACTGGATTCAATAGTATGCAAAGTTGTTCCTCGTCTTGGCTTGTTTGGGTCACATCCCGCTCTGTATTTTCTCATTGTTTCTTGATAGCTCTCATATGGAACTGATGCAAAGCAGTCCTGCGCACTGAGAGCGTCTAGATAAATCTGTCCACAGAAAGTGTATTCTGTTCAGTAACCGTGTAACCGGCAGAGGTGCCGCCCTTCCCCACACACCGTAGGATTGTACTGGGCAGCACTGCACAGTAAAGAGCTTTTTGTTGCTACATGATATCAGTGAAACCATAACTCAACGTGTGCTGCAATGCAGCAAGGGAATAAGACGGGAGAGAGAGAGAAACAGAGAGAGAGATGAAGAAGAGAGTTTTAAAGGTAAATAGACTGTCAGAGTGAAAATGGCTCTCTGCAGAGTGCAGCAGATGGATACTGTCTCAGAGGCAGTGTCCTCATTCTGTGATGAGAAAGAGGAGAATCCCTTCTCTCTTTCCCTCCCTCCTTCATTTCCTCTCTCTCCTTCCCCTCCTTCTCCATCTCTTCATCAAAGATGAAGCGGCAGATGGGATGCAGGAGTGATTTAGGCCACTAACGCTGTGCAGAGATTGTCGCTTACGCTGGCTTTCATGGCTTCGGGTTGTCCTCTAAAATGGCTGCAGACGCGTCAGAAGAACAGAACAACAGAGCTTTTTTACAACAGTCACTTTGGTCTGGATGTATGATCCAACATTGAGAAGAAAAAATAAATAAATAAAACAGTGAGTGAAACAGGGACAAGAAATATGCTCAGAGGAAAAACTGTTGGGGGAATTCAGAAACTTCAGTTTAGCTCTCAGCTGATCTTACTGATCTCATTTTTGTGGAGAAATCAAAAGAGATGCAAATGAGAAACAAATGGTTGGCATATACAGTAAGAGGAGCATAGAGCTATATTACCCATATTACATACAAGTAAAATGGGTAATATAGCTCAGATCATATGGTCTTTAAGAATGTGAAGAATGAGCTAATGCAAAGTCTGATATGTCACAAAAAAAGTAATGTAGTACTATCATGTTTTTCATAATATTTTAAATTATTTATTATAATGTTTTTATTTATTTAATTTATTTATAATTTTATTATATACTTTGAATTTAATTTTAGTTTATTTTTGTTAATGTGATACTACTATGGTCTGGTCTTTTGTTTTATTTTATTTTATTAATTTTTTAATACATTTTATGTGAGATTACTCTATTTATTTTATAAGTTGCCTTTATTTATTTATTTTTACCTGTGATTATTCTGGTCTATTTTCTTTATTGTTTTATTTGATTGCTTTGAAGCTGCCTATTTAATTTAATGTATTACTTTATTTTATGTGAGTTTACTATATTTGCTTTATTTTATTTTATAATATTTATATTATTAACTTTATAAGTTGCATTTATTTATTTTATGTGCAATTACTCTAGTCTGGTCTATTTTTTATTATTTTATTTGATAGCTTTGAAGCTGCCTATTTAATTTAATTTAATTTATTTTGTTATTTTATCTTATATTTTATTATTTTATTTTA